TACATTATTTTTTCACCAAAGTCTACCTTTTATCTAACTTTGAGCCAAATCGAACGAGCCTTTTCTGAAATATTGGCATATCTAAAAATATACGTTTGCGCGTGCGTAAGCGGAAGTGCTGGGTGGAATTTGATAAAATTGATATGGGACCATCTAGGCACCGATCAGCATAATCCCTGAAAATTTCATGAAGATTGGATGAACGGTACTAGGTGATATGCCCGTCACATCGATTTGACTACAGACAGACAGACAGACAGACTGACAGACAGACAGACAGACACCGAACCAAATTTGATCCTTGATGTCTGAAACGTAAAACGCGAGTGAAAATTTTCGATTCTGAGCAAAAATTTTTTTTTAATTTCTCGCACGAACACAATGCTTCCCTACCTTCGGTAGTGAGGAAGCAAAATATTTTAAAATCGCGATATCTCTACTATTAGTGCTTCGATTTCGCTGAAACTTTCTTCATTTTTTAGGAAATTTTAATACCCTTGAAACATCTTATCGCAATATTGACATAAATGTGTATACTTCTTGAGTTATTCGGAATTTAATTTTACCATCCCTCGTAACTTTTTTTGAGCTTTTTTTCGTTGAAGTATGTAGTATAGATAAATTTAGAGGGCGTAGAGAAAATGACTTTAGCGAAGTTTCATCAAAATCGGTTCATTCGTTTAGGCGCTACAGTCTATAGCAACGCAGGTTTTTTGGCCGCCATTTTGAAACTAGAAGGCGAATAGTAATGTCGTTGAAGGAGGATGATCCTCGGGTGACCTCTGATTTTATATCCAAATTCGAAAAAAATCGGTCTAGTAGTTTCAGAAAAAATGCGCGGACGGCGGACGGCGGACTAGTTGTGCACATATAAGAGAAAGTGTTGGACGCAATTCAATGAAATTGACACTACATTATTTTTTCACCAAAGTCTACCTTTTATCTAACTTTGAGCCAAATCGAACGAGCCCTTTCTGAAATATTGGCATATCTAAAAATATACGTTTGCGCGTGCGTAAGCGGAAGTGCTGGGTGGAATTTGATAAAATTGATATGGGACCATCTAGGCACCGATCAGCATAATCCCTGAAAATTTCATGAAGATTGGATGAACGGTACTAGGTGATATGCCCGTCACATCGATTTGACTACAGACAGACAGACAGACTGACAGACAGACAGACAGACAGACAGACAGACACCGAACCAAATTTGATCCTTGATGTCTGAAACGTAAAACGCGAGTGAAAATTTTCGATTCTGAGCAAAAAAATTTTTTTAATTTCTCGCACGAACACAATGCTTCCCTACCTTCGGTAGTGAGGAAGCAAAAATAGCCCGCTGTAGGCAGGGATAGAATAGGATTGTTAAGGCTGTAAAAGATCTACAAATTTGATTTGTAATGCCAAAAAAAAAAATTACAATTAAAGTAAAAATAATTAAGCCGAATGCATGATGATTTATGGCCAAACCAGGAGAAAATGAATTTAATAACGTTTTCAGTTAATAACACCAGTACCATATACCAACACGGTACCATATCATTTGTTAGGTTAAGTGCCTACATTTCACCATTGGGACCGTTTGTCAGTGTCCATCCTAGCTCCCTTTTCTCACCTTAGCGAGTCAACAACCATTGTTCTAAAGGTCAGGAAAGATACACAACATACATACATCCAAGCTATTTCGGAAAGGTACATAACATAATTCATAATCATTACCTTAATAACAAATAATAAATATTAATCATGATAAAGGAATTAAACATTAGAAAAATATTTGATGGATTATTTAATTCATAAAGGTTAGATAATTAATGAAAGTACAAATCTACTTTAAACACAGCCATATAAAGTTTTTATAACAAAAACAATACATTGGTAAAGGCTTTATAAATCCGAATGCTCAATGCCGATTTTACCAAGCTTCGTCCAGATCAGTAATTCTTCCCTCCCGCCTCCGCTTCCGTCCACCTCTCAGACGCTTACTAGTTGACACAGCACATATTTAATTGTTATAGATTCTTTCTTTACTAACCCCAATAATTTTACACGCCAATATTACTCCCCGAAATACACTCTCCTCAATTATAATTACAGTGTACAGCTATTCAGCATTGTGTAACTGTCTAAATTACCTAGTTGACTTATCCTTATTCGTTCCAAATACTCTAAAGAATACTTTATTTTCAAATACCTTTAGACTTTGGTCATCCCTTAATGTAAGCGGTCACGTTACACGTTATGAACAGTTGGAGACATTATACTCATGTAATTTCTACAAAACAATTCTAACTTCTAAATTTTGGGACAAGGACTGAAAATTATAACCATTTCAGGCTTTTAACGTTACCTTAATTTAATCTTCAATTTAATTTTTTCTAGTTATCACAGACCCTAGATACTTGAACTTCTCTTCATGTTCAAACGCATTTTCTTTTACAAATATGTCACCGAAATCGTGACCATCTGCTGCTAGCCATACATTTTGGGTTGTCCTTACTTATTTGGAGAACCGTTTCTTTACCGACTTTCATCAAAGTTATTGTAATTTAGTTTTATGGCTCCAGCGCCTTCGTCTATTAATACCAAATAATCATTACAGAAGACAAAGAATATTATTTCGACCAAATTCAAACATTTTTTTTGGTACGTAACACCTCTATAATGGAATGTTCTAATGCTAAATTAAATAGGATAGGTGAAAGGGAACCATCCGGTTCTGGACCTTAATCAAGTTCTCGTATATATAACTACAAATTCTAACTCTATTGGATGTATTGATCAACTTTATTATAACCATGGGGTTGTTTGGAAAATAATGCAAAATTTCTTGTTTTCTTTACATTAACCCAGTATATAACAAACTATTAACGTTTAGGGGTTATTCATCTGTACAGTTGTCAACAATTATTATTCACCTTCCAAACAAAACTGTTTTCTATATTCTGTAGCAATTCCAGTTGGAAATAATTTGGTCATTACTAACATGTCAAAGCTTAATTTAAAATTTGTTGAAACTCGGCTGGAATGGATCCCAAATGACCAGAAATAATAATGAGGTATGAGGCGATGTCATTGTAAGTGAATGCACCCGTGATTGATAATTTAAAAAAACTTTGAGAGGGAGGCTTTCGATTTAAGGCAATGATGATCAAGGAAGGTCTTCATCCCTTGATGACGATGTTCTATGAACTTTCATCGAATGAAATCTCCTAATAAAAGTTTAAAAAGTTGCAGAAAAAATGTTAAAACACCAACTATAGCTGTCCAGCTTAAGGGAATTGGAAAGTTAAATAAGCTTGAAACTTCCTCATTCAAACGCACAAAAAAAACTCTTTGCTATGAAATTTCCCGATACAGAAGGAAACCTTTTCCGCTTTTTCATCTTCATCTGTTCCCTAACGATACTGACAGTTTTTTTTAAATCAGAGACACTTTTTAAAAGGTAAAAATTTTATTGATCAAAGTACTTCAAAATATGCCTTTTCAGAATTTGTAATAATAAGGATTCAACATTGTAGAGGGTGTGGAAAAGTTACGAAGATATAAATTAATAAAAATAGGCTGTGTTTTATTTATTTTAAAACCATAAACCTGGATTTATTTCCGGACAGTCCAAAAGATTTAATAGGTTGTTGTTGGTATCTCCTGCTTAATCAGAATATCAGACAGTTAATGGAACCAAAGGATCATTTTTAAAATCGATATAATATTTATCAACACCGCTGTATTCTATTTTTTCACTAACAAATGCTCCTCAGATAAGTATTTGATCATTATTGTTGCCCAAATGCAAGACCAAGACAATTCTTGGTCTTGTGCACTCAGTCTTCTTCTTGCTCTTGGGCAAGAGTCTTGCAACAATCTTGCAGTTATCTATTAGCTTGTTATTATAGAGTTATTACTATAATTTTTCGGATAACCTAACCAAACCCGAATGAAAAATTGGAAGAGTTAAATGCAAAAGTATGTTGGTTATACCAATTCTTTACAAATAGTAATTAAAAATGTCAAGTATTAGTGACTATTTTGCAGTTAATTTTTATTCACCAAAACTATATATTTTTTATTTATTTTTATTTTCTATTGGAAAATGCAAGACCAAGACTGATTTTGGGCAACACAAATAGTAGTCTCCGATAATTTCCTCGACATATTCCGTAATTCTACTGATTAACTAAATTCTTTCTCTAAAGTGCCTTTCATATTATTTATCAGAAATAATTAAAGATCTTTGCTTGTTAGCAGTGATACAAAATTGATAAATATGAAGTAGAAATATTTCTGGATATTGAAATCGTATTTCTGGAAACGAAAGTAGGAGTATACGTATATGCTATACCGCGGAGAAGCTTATCAATAAAACTAAAATGAATATCCAACAAGATAGAAGAAAGTACTGAAGAGTGACGAAAAAGTAATGAAATTTAATGTTTATTGTTAATAATGCCACTAAATTGTTCATTATTATTACTCTTAGGGGACCAAATGTCCCAAAATAAAATTTACTTTTCTTTCAATATATCTAGTTCTGCCATAAATACTATTACAAAAGTTGAACTTTGTTTACATCCTTGGGTATAATTTAGATAATCCTTATCTCTATCAGAGTATTTTCATTTAAATGTCAGGATTACAATCCCAATTTGTTTGAATTTTTTTCTCTGTTATTTAACAGGGATCAGGAAAGAAAACCGAATAGCTGTGATCGCCTTACATAAAGTTGGAAAATATAGGTCAGAGATTTTCAACACTTTGAAAACTGTGGGTATCAGCCTATGTTCGTATGCCGTACTTTAAATAGATATAATGAGACCCTATCTGTACAGACCTCGACCGGGGCTGGGAACGGCAAATGCAATTGAGTTCAGTGGCTGCTCGGATCAGAATAAATCCCATTTGATGGTACCACAAAGCTCCATTTTTGTGAAAAAGGAGTTAAAACTACCGCTAAAAACTATCAGGGCGATATTTTTGAACCTATTGTCAAGCCTCTAAATGATACTCTGTTTTGGTGGAAGTCTTAGGGTTTCCAGCAAGATTCCGCTCCAGTTCACAAGGTCAGGTCAAATCAGCATTGGCTGCATAAGAACATTCCGGAGTTCATCTCTGCATCGGATTGGCCCTCAGGAGTCCCTGATCTCAACCCAATCCGAACTGGAGAGGATGTCATACAACAGAGCACATCCTAACTTGGAAAGCCTCAAACAATCTCTGCTCCGAGCAGTTGAACGCTTTCCTCAATAAGTGCTGCGTGCTGCTATTGATAACGGAGATTAAATGTCTGTGTCAAGGCAAAAGGAGGACATTTTGAGTATTTTTTTGTTTTACTCTCTAAAGATACACATTTTATTTTCTAATAAAGTTAATGAAAAATTAACTTTTCTGTTCAAAACCGTATATATTTCCTTGTAACAATATTTATGACAGAACTAGGTATATCTGATTGATCAGCTGTAGTTATAAGTTGTGTTTCAACCTCGACTACCAGTATTTACTTTTTTTTTCCAGAAGAATTTGATCTTTCACTCAATACAGATCCATAGTACATCAGAACAGTTGAAACTTGCAGTGTCCACAGTTCAAAACCTTTTATTCCCATTTTTTTTCATTTGTGGTTTTATCACCAAGTGATGTCTAGTAAGACGCCCTAGGGTCTCGGTGATATGTCTTCACCCATCGTGGTTCATCAGTTTAACAATGAACTCGTTGCAACCTAAGGGAAACTCTTTCAGTGACTACAACGAATTCTTCAGGATCTGAACCTCAGCCTTAATCCGGTACATCTTTACAAGAAATAATCTTACTCCAAACCCGTATCAAGTGTTTCAAAATGACAGAGGAGTAATAGAATTTACAAAAAAACACCGAGAACCAAGGCATCCTCTGATATTTGTGAATACCACTTTTTTTTAAAACTTGTTTATTGAGAGGTATTAAAATCTGTCTCAAAAGACATTTATAATAGTGTTCAGTGATCACATTCACTTTATGTACAATAAATAAAAATAAATTAAACAGAAAAACAATATATATATATATTCAATCGATCAATCGATCTTTATTTGTTTTTAAGGGAAGAAACCTATACACATGGAAGCTATAATAAAATAACAAACATTACCATCCTAATAGAAATACAAATTCATTCCTTTTTATACTACATAACAGATATTACAGCACTTTTAAGCATAAATTAAAAATCATATTCGGTAAAAATCAGACAGTTAAAACAGTTCCAATTATAAAATTAATATAAAATCCAAAATTTTCAACAATATACATAAATAAATACACATAAAAAAATAAATACACATTTTTAAAAATATTGATATTAAACTATGTTTTAAAATTATTTTTTTATTTATTTATTTAGAAATATAATAATCTGTCACGTGGACAATAATTATAGTGAGATATGAACACATTCATACCATATATACAGAAAATATAAAATTAACAAAAGCAAAATAATAATCAAACAACAATGTTTTAAAATAAAATTAAAAGATTACCCCTACATCTAACAGAACAAACGAGAAAAATACGCGGGCAGATTACATGCCGACATGCAAAATTTTTAACATAGTATACAGAGGACAATATTCGAGATTACTCTACCAATTCTCTATAATCTGATATAATTGAGATAAAAACAATTAAATATCATTTCCTCATATGTTCTGCACTGCTTAGCTTAAATACTTCTATCCCATTAAGATTTTCCATACCCTGGTAAATTCTTAACCTTAAACTACTATAAATTAAGTATTTAAATAATATATGATGAAGTGTTTCGTTTTCTTTATTGTTGCACATTTTGCAATGATGTTGTGAAGTAATTTTCACAATTTTATTATTAACAGAAATCTTCATCATATATTTTCCCAGAGTCGGATCTGTATTAATAATTTCGAATATTTGAAATTAGTCGGTATCAACAAAGACAGGGGTATCTGATCATTATTTTTTATTTTTTTTAAATTTTATTGAGAAATATTACAATCTGTCACAGTTAAGGACACTTATAATAAAGTAATCATTATTAAGAAAAAGGTTTAAATGTTCTTTATAATATATATATATATATATATATATATATATATATATATATATATATATATATATATATATATATATATACAATAAATAAGAATAAATTAACTTAAAAATAAATAAATAAAAACACACCTCACTATAACCAATGTCCAAGAGACAGATTGTTATAATACTCAATAAAGAAATAAAGAAAAAAAAAACTAAATAAAAAAGAACACATACATACCTATATACACTATTTACAATCAGGAGAGATAACTCCGAGCCAGACTTGTCACTCCTACTGTGGAGGGAAAAGTATGATTCCAGGAGATCTCTGCACTACTCTCTCAACCGCATGAAAAGGACCAATGACACTAAAATAACATCGGATACTGCTGAAATATTTATCAGAAAAGAAGGCGAAATTTCACAAGTACCAGCTGAGACATGAGTGAACATTCCGAGTGGTGTTAAAAAATTTGCAATCTTCAACCACCACTGAAGTGATAAAAGAAGAACTAACGACCCTATGTATCAAAGTTCGCCAGGTAACCAAGGTTTTGAAGATGAATAAGGGGCAGCCAGAGGTAAGAAATAAAGTCCTACTACCCTTGTTTTTCGTGGACCTGGAGCCATCACCAAATATTAAAAAAATATAAGAAATCACAAGATTGTACTACACTAGCGTGAAAATAAAGAAGCCTACCTAAGAGAGAAATAGTGCAGTGCAAAAATCATCAGACGTATGGCCACACGAAGTCTTATTTTCACCACTTGCATGAAATGTGGCAAACGTCACAACTTTGGCGAGTGCGGCAAAAGAATAGAAATTCCTGCAGTTTGTGCCCTATGCCTTAAGGGAAACTCAACCACCTGCAAAGACTGCTAAATTTCTTAGATCTCAAATCCAGATACCAGAAAACTCGCATTCAAGATGAGTCAACGAGACCAATTAGAGAACTTTCTAGAATATTTAATAATACTACTTTTTATTGGAATAATAATAATACAATCTGCCGCAATAAAGAGGATTGGGTATTAAGACTCTATTTGTACATCCATACTATTATATACAAATTAATAAAAAAGAAATAAAAAGAAAACATCTAAGTAAAATATATACAATAAAATACTAACAAAAATATAAAATACTTGAAAAAGGGGGGGAGGGAAATAGCCACACACATTTCTATATATAATATTCAGATTCAGCCTGGGGAACCCTGAACCATGCTTTGCTGCTATCGTGTGAAAAGCAAAGCAGTGTTGAAAGAGATCCCAACGTTTCTCTCCCAGTCGCATCACTGTTTGAATGTCAGTGGAGGGTGAGTGAGAACGCTAAAGCCACACTCAGGACTTGGGCGGAGAAGCTGGCCACTGCCAAAACTCTAAAAGCGTATTTACAAAAGGTCTCTGGGCCATTGCCGGGAGAATTGTATGGATGGTTAGAGCTGTAGAGGGCTTGTGCTAAATGATTAGGATGATGGATAAGTTTTTGATGGAAGTTTGAGAATCTGGATGTAATTAGGTCAAGGACAAATGGGATATTGAGATCATGATTTAAGGTTTTATTTGTGGCGTAGTATGGAGCATTGACTATTGTTTGAAGGACTTTGGATTAAATTGATTAGATGCTTTTGATGTTCGAAGATTTAGTTATCCACCACAGTTCGACTCCGTAAGTCAAGGTGGGTTTTAGTATGGTCTCGTATATTAGTAGTTCGTTTTCAATTGAAAGATATGAGTTTCTGTTCAGTAGTCTTTATAGCTGGCTAAATCGTCGGTTAAGTTCTTGTCTTTTGTGTCTGGTATGAGGGTTCCATGTCATTATCTTGTCTAGGAGGAAATCCAAGTATAGGATTGTGTCTAAGAAGGGAAGAGGTATTCAGGACTTCGCTTCGGAGTTTGAAAGTAATATGCTTACACTTGGATTCATTTCCTATAATACGCCAATCATTTTATCACTGATCAATTAGGGAAATATGACTTTGCAGGTTTAGGAATGCCATTTCAGGTTCTCAGTGAAACTAAAGGATAGCGGTATCACCAGCAAATGTTGCCAGGAAATTATTGGGATGTTAGTAGTGAAGAGGTTGTAGAGAATTGGGCCCAAGAAGCTGCCTTGAAGAACACCAGCTTCTATTGGATAATAGTTGGAGAGTTCTGTGCCGCAGCGGACCTGGAAGGAACGATTGGAAAGATAAGATCTAAGGATTAAGTATAAGGATTATGATAAATGGATTTTGAGTTTTAAAAGCAAGCCATCGTGCCATACCCTGTCGAATGCTTACGCTACGTCCAGAAAGGCCCCGGTGCAATATTGCTTGCTTTCAAGTGCGGAAAATGTGTGATCAACAACGCGAAGACCTTGTTGAACTGTGGAATGTACTGAGTGGATGTGAGGGGATTTTCTTGGAATTCAAGTATCGGTAGGATTCGTTTGAGAAGGATTTTTTTCACAGATTTTTGAGTGGATCGGGAGAAGGCTTATTGGTCTGTAGGAAGAGGTTTCATTAATAGATTTGCCTGGTTATGGGAAAGGATAATGATGGATTTCTTCCATATCGGAGGAAAGTGGGTTATTCGAAGGATACAATTGTATAGGTAGGTAAGGAATATAATAGCTTATTAAGGAAATCGAAGGACCTGGGAAGTGAGGAGATTGTATCCAAGAGATTCACTAGGTTTCAGTTTATTTTCAAGGAATTTAACCCCAGAGGGGTAAAAGCTTTAGGAAGTAAGGATAGAGAAGTCGGTGAAAAAAAGGAATTCCTTAGCTTTAGTTATGTGAGAGAGATTGGTTTTAGGATGGGGGATGAATGTTACCCTCCTTCTTACCAACTGAATTATCTTCTGGCCCACAGGATCCTAACCGCAATCCTGACATCCTTGATTTATTCATCCACAGTGGTTTATATCTACTCAATCATTGCCTTCTAATGAAAAAAAAAAAAAAAACCTGTACCATTACAACCCATGAAGGGTCTGGGGTTCAGTACTATTTAGGGAAAGCACTGTTTCTAGGTCAACGGTTGTGCAAGGAGGTGATTTGACCGAGATCACGATCAACCGCCAGGTTTTCCCCCTTAATCAATTATTTAATTAAGGGTACCCACTTTATAGAGGCTGGGTGTGCCCCAGGAGGGACTCCTGACCCAAGGTCGCCCCACGGCCAATGAAACAGATAAATAAATTTTCTGCCAAGA